AAAAAAAAAAAAAAAAATTAATTAATTAAAAAAAAAGAATGCACAAGCTAGGGAACAGGGAGAGAACGGGAAGGGAATATACGATTTTCGGCTGCCATGTGGCTATTTCACCAGGATATGAGTTTTATATTATTTTTGTTAATTTTATAAGGTTGAACTTTAATAATAACAAATAATTGTTGAGAACTGATTATCGAGAACTGCTTATCAAAGTTCGCATTGTTGATCAGTTTTTAGAATTCAATCACCATTGTTTGGACTTAATGAACGATGGCATTTTTTGGCATTGGCAACCACGAAAACATTTTGTAACTGTCTCTCAGATAATACACATCGTACTGTGTGCTAGTGCTAGTTAAACAAGTGATGTTAACAAATCAGCTATTCAGATAATTTAGGTAAGTAATTTATTTATTTATTTCATGAATTTAGCAGACAGTACTCATATTATTTATATTTTATAGTGGCAGCAAAAAGTCTAGCGCCGGCCTTGAAAGTGACACGACTTCTCAGGTATCATTATTAAAAAAATATATTGATAAGGAAAAGGTTAAATCTTGGGCATCAGCAAAAATCACAATAGAGAACAAATGGTTAGAAATATTTCACCATTTTGAAACAAACCATGTTCCATACAATAATGCACTAAAAATTGTGGGATATGCGCTGTCCTTACCAGGAACTAATGCTGTGACTAAACGCGTTTTTTCTACAGTAAATAAAGTGTGGACATCAGAAAACTCACAATTAAATGTTGAGACTTTGAAAGCCATTTTGTGTGTGAAATATAATTTAACAAATTCTTGTGAAAAATTTCATGACCTTTTAAACAACGACAGCAATCTACTAAAAAAAATTCACTCAAATGAGAAATATGCCAAAGAATAAAATAATACTATACATAATTTTTTAATGTATTATATTTGTAAATTGTACTTATGTTGAAATTAAAAAATATATATTACAATACTATTTTTGCGTTCCATGAAAATTTTTGTTTTTCCATATAGATCAAATTTTTAATTACGAAACCCCCACCCCCACCCCGGCCCTGGTCAATGGTGTCCCGCTTTACCAATGTTAAAATCTGATCACCTTAATATAAACACATGTATACACACAAATGTATATGTATGTGTGCACATTATTAGGAATAATACCATATTCAACACGATAAAGAAACAAATACAGGAAATCTGTTTTCGTACTGATAAGAAGGCTTCAGTTAAGAACACCACTTATAGCCTGGCTGCAGGGGCTCACACCTATAATCCTAGCACTCTGGGCAGCTAGGGTAGAAGGAATGCTTGAACCCAGGAATTTGAGACCAGCCTGAGCAAAAGCAAGACCCCATCTCTACTAAAAATAGAAAAATTAGTAGGGCATGGTGGCAGGGACCTGTAATCCCAGCTATTCTGGACGCTGAGGCAGGAGGATTGCTTGTACCCCGGAGTTTAAGGTTGCTGTGAGCTATGATGATGCCATTGTCTCTAGCTGGAGCAACAGAGTGAGACTCTTATCTCCAAAAACAAACACAAAACAACAAAAAATACCACCTAACCACATCACCTCTGTGAAGAACCATCAAAGACCTATATGATATCTCAGAATGAAACATCAACATCCCTCAAGAAACCAGTCTGCTTTCTCTCAGTTGATGTAACTTATCCTGATTCTCTTGTATGGCTGTCAGAGGGATCAGATGAAAGATGACAGCAAATAAAACCACAGGGTCCTGCACAGTGGCTAATATGTTCTTACATGAATCATGAAGTAAGAGTAAGAACCCCATGAATGATATATTCCTATTTCACACCCAGATTTTTCTAGTTCCTGCTATTACCAATTTATACTTTTTTATTTAATTGCACTGATTTTTATAGGCCTCTAAACATCTATTAGAGAATAAAGAAGAGAATAAAACAAATCAAGTCACATGGGCCTGTATGATATTCTCCATTTGGGAAATGGCCACTAACTGGGATGCTCTGTCTTTATCTCTCTGAATCAGCTTTAAATTTGTTAAAAAATCTCAAACTTGAGTCAAGGGTAGTGGTGGTCCCCAGTAGTGATGATACCCAAGTATTAGAATCTCTGCCTCCTTTCTTCACTTGATTTCTCTTGTTCTCAGCACCTGTGGGCTGAAGAGCAACACTATGCTCTTTAGGCTCAGATGCTGTCACCTTAAATCAAGGCCCTGAAACAGCTACCTGTCTTTTTATTTAGTGCTTCAGAAGATTTTACATCTGGGCTGGTAAAACATAACATTCTGGACGTTTGGGAGGTACATCTTCCTTCTATAAAGTGGAAGTGGTATTATTACTGGCCACTAGTGAAAGAAGACGGGGGAAAGAACCATCCCAACGTGATATTCTGACAGCAGGGGAATCCTCAGGCAGAACAACTTTAGGAAAGAGGACATACAGACAGGACACACCCCTGTCTTTTAAACCACATGGGCCCATTACCTTTTCAAAAGTCTTTATACATCCTAGGGTACTTATACTATTATTTGAGAATATTGTCCTACGCAAATTATATAAATATTATTTAATTTCTTATCACCATCCATGTCTTGATTCCCTGCAAAATATTATAAGTATAAATCTATAAAGGATACTCAGCAAAAATATCCTTAAGGACTTAAAGACATCTTCAGGCAATGCAGAAAAAAATTCTTCATTAGAAGGTCCACAATACAGCAAATGCTAATGAGTATTCTTTGAGCAAAGGGAAAGAAGCCTCCTGTGTAAGTAGAGGAGTAAGAAGGAGTAAAGAAGAATAGAACTGGGTAAGTAAGAGAAAAAGCCTAAATTAAGTACTGACTGGAAAAATAAGAATGATAATACTATCTCAGGAGGTTTTTATACATTAAGTGTTAAATCTACCATAAGAGCACATACATTAGGATGGTGAATGAAAAACTGTTTGAAGGTATCTGTATAGTAGGAGAAGAGCACAAAGTACAAATTACCGTAACATTGACAAAGTTTATGTGTTATTTGCAATCACTAGTGTCAGCAATAAAACTAATATTTGAAAAACATTTAAAAGAGAGGCCTGTGGTTTCTGTGGCAAACACTCAACTCTACCATTGTATCTCAAAAACAGACACATACAAAAAAAAAAAAAAAGACTAATGAGTATAGTGGGTTACAATAAAACTTTTATTAACAAAAACAGGCACTAGGCTAGATTTAGTCCATGGGCTCGAACTGCTCAAACTTGAATTAGTGCAGAAAAGCCATGTGATTATTCTACACAAAGGGTCAGTAACATAGTGTCCAGGGCCTGGACTACCTGTTTTGTAAACAAAATCCTGGGGGAACACAGACAGATCCATTTGATGGCATATTGTCTCAGGCTGTTTTCACATTATAGTAGCAGAGTTGAGAAATGGTAAAGGATCTAGAAATAGTACTCAATGCAATGTAGTTTGAAAAAATAATCAGCTGTGATCTTATAGTGGTTAGTAATCTGCATTGTGAAAAAATAATCAAAGATGACCTTTAAGTATAAGAAGGGGCAAATTATCAGTATTTGCCTAATATATTTGTTTTGGTTTTGGTTTTTTGGGGGGACAGAATCTTACTCAGTCGCCCTGGGGTTGAGGGCTGTAGGCCTCATCCTCATAGCTCACAGCAACCTCAAACTCTTGAGCTCGAGTGATTCTTTTGCCTCAGCCTCTTGAGTAGCTGGGGCTACAGGCACCCACCACAACGCACAATTCTTTTTAGAGATGGGGTCTCACTCTTGCTCACAATGATCTTGAACTCCTGAGCTTAAGCAATCCAACCACCTTGGCCTCCCAGAGTGCTGGGATACAGGCTTAAGTCACCAGGCCAGCTTTCTAATATATTTGTATGCCTTTTTAATCAGGTGGCTGGTTACAAAATTTAAATAGAATAATCCTATAGCATCCTAAAGCTTATACACCTTAAAAGTCAGTGTTAAAAAGCAGAATATTTCTTGGGAATAATTTAACATTCCGTTGAAAACTGCCAGTACAGGTATTCTTGGTAACCATAAACTCTATTTCTGGTCCTATACAGGTCTTTCTGTAAAGGAAATATTGGCAAAAGAGTGCTGACAGGTCGTTTTTGCTTTCTTCACTGTATTTTCATAAGTAACATATGTTTAAATCAGAAAATATTAGCATTCTACATTTAAAATAAAATTGCTGGCTGGGCGCTGTGCCATGACTCACACCTGTAACTCTGGGAGGCCAAAATGGGTGGATTACCTGAGCTTATGAGTTTAAGACCAACCTGAGCCAGAGCGAGACCCCACCTTTAAAAATAGCCAGGCGTTGTGGCCGGCGCCTGTGGTCCCAGCTACTTGGGAGGCTCAGCCCAAGAGAATTGCTTGAGGGCAAGAATTAGAGGTTGCTGTGCATTATTACACCACAGCACTCTACCAAGGGCAACAAAGTGAGACTCTGTCTCAAAAAATAAATAAAAATAAAATAAAATTGCTGTTCATAGATCAATAATGTAACTTAATGGTTTAAAATGTTTGGATTACAAGGAAAAAAGAAAGAAACAAGGAGGGAGGGAGGAAGGGAGAATGTGAGTTATAAATACAAATTTTACAAAAAACAAAAGCACAAATAACCCTGAAAAATAACGTCAAGGAAGAGAGTTTAACTACTCTCTCTGTCACTGTTTTCTTTTTGTTTTTGAGATAGAGTCTAACTCTGTCACCCTGGGTAAAGTGCAGTGGCATCAGCATAGCTTACAGCAACCTCAAACTCTTAGGCTCAAGGGATCCTCCTGCCTCAGCCTCCCAACTGGCAAGGACTAAAGGCACCTGCCACCATGCCTGACTAGTGTTTCTATTTTCAGTAGAGATGGGGTCTTGCTCCTGTTCAGGTTGGTCTCAAACTCCTAAGCTCAAGCAATCCACCCAACTTGGCCTCCCAAAATGCTATGATTACAGGTATGACCCACCACGTCTGGCCATTAAATTCTCTCTCTGCTAACAAAGAAACAGGCACAGATCATACAAATCACACTGTTAAAAAGAAGTAGAATCAAGACTGAAAAACCAGGTTCATTTCATTCCAAAGTCTTTCATTGCACATTATACCTAGCCAAAAATATTTGTAAATAAGATGTTTCCTTTTTAAATAAACAAAGATAGTGGCTGGGAGGTGGCTGAGGCCTGTCATCCTACCACTTCTGGAGGCTGAGGTGGTTGATAGCCTGAGCTCACAAGTTCGGGACCAGTCTTAGCCAGAGCCAGACTTCTTCTGTTTAAAAAAAAAAAAAAAAAAAAGCCAGGTGTTGTGGTGGGTGCCTGTAGTCCCAGCTACTTGGGAGGCTAAGGCAAGAGAATCACTTAAGCCTAAGAGTTGGAGGTTGCTGTGAGCTATGACGTGATGCCACAGCACTCTACCGAGGGCCACAAAGTAACATTCTGTCTCAAT